AGCTCTCGGCAATCGGACGGTGATTGTCTGCAACAGGTGTTGTTCTATGCGCCACTGCCCACACAAGATCCGCATACTTCAGTGCACATCCAGACACAACACACACACACACACACACGAAGCACCGAAACGAGCAAACGAATGAAACAGGAAGTGACACAAACACACACTTAGACTGGGTAATAGGGGGCTTGGGGTTGTCGGCCTACAACGAATCAGAGCTGAACCTCAGCGTTGCGGCCGTGTGCGTGCGTCCGTGCATGTTTGTGTGCGTGTGTCTGAGCGAGGAGGATAGCGATAAGAAGTTATCTGATGATGTGAGACTACTACTACCACTACTACTACCGCTACACGTGCTTGTGTGGAGCGTTTGTCGGTGCGTGAACACGTGAATACGGGCGCGCACACACACGTACGCACATGCGAGTGCGAGCATATGCCTGTGTGCATTGGATGAGTTGTTGTGTTCACGTTTCGAATCTGACGGGAACCAGACGGTCGTGAATCAGACGGTATTTTTCAGCCTGTGCTGAGACTGCACACAAACGCATACACACACACGCACATACGCACGCTCACACACACCGTGCGTCTGTCTTCTAATCACTCAGTGCGTGCGTGTGTGGATGCGTACGAAAGTGTCTATACATTCTCTCTGACTTCACGAAGCGTGTGTGTGTATGTGTAATTGTGCGTCCCTGAGGTGCATCAGCCGTGGACAAAATTTCACCTCTTTTTTTCATTTGTCTGAACGCGCTGACCAGTTTCCACGGGACTACTCAGATCGTGGGTTATCCGGTTGGCAACTTAGTGCAAGCCCTGTTGCACTCTTCCGCCGACTCCGGTTTCGTTGTTCCATTATCATTACACGCCATTCTTTCACGTGCGGCTCTCTCTCTCATCCACATTTTTTGCCCGAATCAAGTGCTGTGGTTAGTCTACTTCCATTTCTGTCAGTGTCTGTGTGTGCCACAGATTGTGTTGGACCTAATTGGAGTCGATCCATTCTCACGTCGATCGTGTTGAAATCGTGTCTAGTCTAGCACCGGTCATGCTCTCCCTAGTGGAGACAGCCTATACCGATCCGGACTCGGAATTGCTTGAGGATGGGGATTTTTGTGGACATCAGCCACGAAAAATTTCCGTATTGGAATGTGTACACGACGGTGTGGTTGTGCCCGGCCCGTACTACGAGTCAGGAACGAGCACCAAATTATATAATGTACAAAATGGGGCGATCGAATCGACCAATACACGAGAGAGTTCCACACCAGACTCGGAACATCATCAACAACAACAACAACCACAACAGCAACATACAAAACAACAACAGCGTACCAACTCGGGCCGGTTAGAATCGGGGACAAACGAGGAGGACGAGGACGAGGACGAGGACGAGCCGACAGCATCTGAACTGGGTCAGTCCACGACGGAAATAATCTCGTCCAGTTCGGCTAATCACAACCATGGAATACATGTGTGTCCCAGCGGGGAGAAAGTTTCCCGAACAAATTTGTACATTAAAGGATTGCCGGATAGTTTTAGCGATGAAAAATTGTGGAATCTGCCACCGGATCAGTGTCAGATCAAATCAGTCAAAGCGGCCACGGATGATGAGGGCAAATGTCGCGGTAAGTTGATCCTTTTGGGGAAATGTCTGACGAGTGAGCTTGAATGTGAAGCGCGGTGGGGTGGGGTGGGGTGGGGTGGGGTGGATGGGAGGCATTTGACGATACTATCTGAATTCAGTAAGATTGCGTAAAGTCAGAAATCCCGTTTTAAAAATAATTGATTGTCAAGAGAGGTCACCATTATATTCATGCTTTGTTTTCAACTACTCTGTCCCGTTTACAAGAGACATCCGGACATTCTGGGGTTACGTGGCGATCGATACAGACACGTGATTGATAAGATTTCCCGAGATAATCAAAGTAAAAGAAAGCTGACCCCGAATCTGTACACAAAATAGGGATAGATACGATAGGATTATTTAGCCTAACTAGTGGAAGAGAACCTACACACTCCTTGGAGTTTCTTTCATTGGCATCGCTTTCGTCAGACGCATTTAAAAGAACGAATATGTTAGTGGTTGTTTGTATTCAATCAAAATAAAATGATCAACTCATATTTCTTGATATGCAATGGACATATCAATTCGCAATGGATACAGTTTGATCTCGGTTCATTTCATCTGAGAGCGACAGAGAGTGGGGAGAGAGGGAGAGACAGCGAGAAACGATCCGTGTGGTTTGGCATCGAAGTTGGACTCACGCAGTCACGTGCCCCTCATGTATTGATGATGCTTTCGTTATTTTATCTTAATTACTCAAACAACAAAACACGGAAGTCACATGGTGTTGTTCTGAATCCTTTGTCTGTGTGTGTGTGTGTGCGCGCGCGCGCGCGTGCGCGCACAACTTTGCAATTGCACCGAAAATACTGTCTGAATTGTTAAAGAAAGCAATAAGATAGCGTACGCCACCTGGGGCGGGCGAGGGGGGGGAGGTGAGAGGTTCCAAGATGTGGTATGAGTTGGTTAAATGTTTCAGGGTGGAACGAGTGTTGGTTCATCGATTCTTACCTGGTGAGCGGTGTAAACCATAAAACGTTGGAGTTTTATGTTCCTGTCTGTTCCGTTCGGTCGGAATCATACGAGTAAACGAAATGGTGGTACATATGTTTCCACGAAAAATTTGTCCATATCTATCTAACTTGTTCGATGAACAGATCGGTAAAATGTACGCCTCTCACGTAATTCAATTACAATTTGGATAGAATTTAGTGTTTCGCAGTCAGCGAACCACGAAAACACTAGGCCAGACTTGTCAGACATGAATCAAATTGAACAGTCCATATCTGAATAAGTTTACCCATCAAATATATTTTCTACCATTTATTGCAATGGAAATGTCTGTGAAAACCAACAAAGAGCACCGGGACAGCTGTTTCGTCCTGTTTGGGACTCGTCAGCAGTGCGCGTACTTTTTTGTGTCTCTGTCAGGACTCGAACCGCGATCTGTCGGGTCGGGACTTCAAATCCTTACCCCTGAGCTACACGGCCGATGATTATCACCTTGTGCGAATGGTTCAATCAATTTAGAGTACCAAGCTTGGATTAGCCCATTCGATTGTTCAGAGGCACCAGGCACTCTTAATGGATCCAAGCTTGATACTCTAAAACGTTTTCCACCAGTTGGCAAATTTATACCGAGAGTTTACGCGGTCGGTGCGCTGACAGACGGCAGGGGGAAATAAAACGCCTCATTTCTAAGAATCTGGTCGTAACGAAGAGCAAAGCCAACTAGATGGAATTTTTCTTTGTCGATCGGTTTATAGAATTTAATATTTGTCAGCAGTTTTAGGGAACTGTTGATCAGTAATGCAGAAAAGAAACAACCAATGTG